GGGTGAGAAGCATCAATGTGAGAGAAACCTGAAATCTAGGTATGTGCCCATGACTGGAATTGAACCCATGACCCTTCAGTGGATAGGCTGACACTCTAACCACTGGGTCACACTGACCAGGGCAGATTAGAATTATTTTTGAGTTTTATCCTCAATGCCTGGGAGGAGCTGGGTCCTTAACAGGAAATGGTGGATTATTTTGTAAAGTGGATAGCAATCCCCTTAAGCCTCAGGGGCATATCTGAAATCTGCAAGATCCTAGCATAGTTGCTCACACTATTCCTCTGGTGCCAGCCCACTGTCCAGCAGAGGCTTAGAAGAGCCAGAGTAGACACTGGGGGCAGGGCAGGCTGGCCTGTAACAGAGAGGGTTTGGTCAATCCTCTGGGGAAATTCAAGCTGAGGCCAGATCCTGCCTGGAGAGTCTGTCACCTTGTCTCGGCTTACAGTTCCAGGGAAATTGCTTGCTCTGGGTGGAGACTGGCCCCAGATATCAGGGCCCTGAGGATCCAGCCCTGGGTTTCTGGGAGAAGCAGAGCAAAGCATGGGGTGTGGCATAGAGACACCCTTGGCAGGGCCCTGCGTGAGGCTGGCCTGGAGGGTGCTGAAGAGACCGGAAAGTCAGACCAGGATTAGAGCTCTGGGTATGAAGGGATCTCTGTGGGGGTCCTCACCTATGGGTCCTGGCTATCCTATAGGACAGGCTTTTCCCTGTGGCAACAAGAGCTGGCTGGGCCTTCTGAGAGAGTGAAGAGGATCTAGGTGGCTGGATATAAAGGCATCAGAAGGAGGGGTGGTTCTGGGGCAGCCAGTGAGGAGGACGGGATCTCCTCTCTTGTCCTAGTTTCTGGTTTAGATGTTACAGATGTTGAGGCACAGGGAAGAGGTGACTCAAACACAGGTCAGCTTCCAAAGGCTGGTTGGGGCTCTCTACTCCCAATCTGGCTGTGCTCAGGCCCCTTCCCCCCTACTCCAGAGCTCAGACACCTCTCATGCTTCTTCTGAGGACTTTAACCTGGGGTATCACCTGGGACCCTGAATCTGTCTCCATTTCCCCCAATTCTGGGAGACCCTCCAAAGGGAAAGGACCAGAGGGTGGTGGCTCCTCAGGAACTCATTAGGGGCCTTCTTGAGAACCTGTGTCTCTAACCCACCCCTAACCAAATGACAACCCCGTGGGCCACACACAGAAATAGCTTGCAGAATCCTTGCTGCTTACTCAGCTTTTGAGGAGCACCCTTGATCCTCTTGTTGGAAGGTTAGAGGCCAGTAGAATCTTCCTTGTGAATATCTCCATGGAGCTGAGGGCAGGTGTCTAAGGTGGTTGTGTCTCAGCTTTCCCATCATCACTAGGGCCCAGGCTTGGGGTCCTCATGTCTCCCTTACTCTCCTCACCTTTGGTGCTCTAACCTCTTGAGAGGTGGGTGGAGAGGGATAGGTCTGTGGAAGCCAAAACTCAAGCTAAGACATCTAGGGCTGGACACTGAATATCTCTTGGTTTCCTTTTTTGCTTTAAGCTCTTTGGAGAGAGCCTAGCCTATGTGTACTAAACCAAAGGGCTTTGGTCCCATCCCACAGAAGAAGCAGAGATCTGGAAGGTCCCAGGAGGGGGAGGTTCAGGGCTCCTGTAGCCTTGGCCATCCTGCTGGCTTGGGGACCAGGGGAGTGCAGGCTGATGTGGACAAAGGCCCAGTGCACAGTCAGACAAACAACACACAGCTGTCTAGAACAGTGATGGTGAACCTTTTGAGCTTGGCATGTCAGCATTTTGAAAAACCCTAACTTAACTCTGGTGCCATGTCACATATAGAAATTTTTTGATATTTGCAACCATAGTAAAACAAAGACTTACATTTTTGATATTTATTTTATATATTTAAATGCCATTTAACAAAGAAAAATCAACCCAAAAAATGAGTTCGCGTGTCACCTCTGACATGCGTGTCATAGGTTCGCCATCACTGGTCTAGAACCTCTGAAGCACCGTTTATCTAGGCCCCATGGAGCCGAGTGTCCCAAACTGCCTGCCCTGTAGTCCTCAGGGGAGCACAGGCATTACAGTGTCCATGGCCTCAGACCCTGCATGCTCCCCAGCCCAACCTGTTGCAGGGCCACACATGCATGCTTGCTTAGCCCTCATCCCATGCAGGTGGAAATGAACTGGCCCCAGACCCTCCTCCATCCCACATGGCCAGGGACTCCATCAATCTGGGCTAGCTCAGCACCATGTTAAATACTTTCCTTGCAATCTCCCTTAAATAAACCCATCCCCAGAGCAACCCGCCCACCTTGCACTCTGAACATATTCTATTGGCTTCTGCCTTCCAGAGGGTGGAGAGGCTTTCTCTTCCTCCGCTCCAGGGTATACCATTTCCCTAAAAGATCAGGGGGAAACATTTTTCTCTCAACCCTGGGGCAGAGACAAGGGGAGGCCTGACTTGGAGGGACCACCTAGGAACCCTGCCTGCCCCTCCCTTTCCTTTCTTCACCTTGCCCTTAAGAAGGTTAGGGGTGACTCACCCAATGTCACAGACCCAGTACCCAGAGTCCTGACCCATGTAGGAGGTTGCTCTGGTTTTGATAGCCTAAAGTTTAGGTCCTAAACTAGCTTCAGGGCAGGGGACTGACCTCCCAAACCTGCCTCTGTCCTTGGCCCCTTGTAGTTCTCCAGGCATGGAGTGAGCTGGGGAGATCCCAGTTTCTGACTCCACTTTGTCCCAGATCCCTGAAACTTCCTCCCAGCACCCTCCATCCCTGGTGTCCTCAGGTCTTTCTGGCTCTGTGGACACTCAGACAGTACCAGGGCATGGGGGCAATGGGGCCTAGGCCTGAGCAAGCCTGTCCCTGGCCTGTCAGCGTCTGGGCCAAGGACAGTCCTTATACCCAGTACTGGCCATTTTTGAGGGCAGGGTTGGATGTCCGGCAGAACTGCAGAAGCTCTGGGTCCTGATGGCCCCCTAGTGGGGGCCTCTGGCCAGGCACAGCTGTGAGTGGGATGGTCTGGCCAGGCTCCATCTTGCGGAAGGTCTCCGTGTCTCCGTCTCCGGCCAGGCCGTTGCGGGGCTTGGCTGTCAGCACCTGGACGTGGTGCTTGCCTGTCTTATTGCGTTTCCGGAGATAGAAGAGCAGGGGCAAGATGAGTGCCAGGAGCAGGAGGACCAGGCACACGGGGATGATGACACTGAACATGTTGTCCTCGAGGAAGCCCAGGAAGCCCCCTGTGGCCACAGGTGGCACGGGGCTGGAGGCTGTTGGCCGTGGCTCACCAGTTGGAGGGCTGCTCTCTGGCCTCCCTGCTTCTGTCTGAGCAGCCTCAGGGAGACTGAGCAGGGCCACGCTGTAGGACTGGGCCGCATTGTAAGGCTCAGTGGCAAAGTCCAGCGAGGCCACAGCAGGTGGGACACCTCTTGCCCACAGCTCAAGAGTGAGACTGTCACTTGCGGGGCCAGGGGACCTACTTTCTGGCCTGCCTACCTCCAGCCCAAGCCTTCCATCCTCAAGGTCCTGCTGTGTAAACTGCTCCACAGGTTGGCCGTCCCTGGGCATACGGACCACACGGCCATGCCGGGGTCCTACCAGGAGCCGGAAACAGGGTACACTGCCTGTGTGGTTGGCCAACTCACCTGCATCTAGGATGGTGGAGTCCAGGCGTAGGGTGGCACCCTGGGGCCACGGCCCACCTGCCCACACATGCAGCAGAGCCCTCACAGTGACATTCACTGTGGCTGATGTATTGGCACCTCTGGCCAGTGCCAGGACATTGAAGTGGTCGTGAGAGGAGGAGAAGTTGGTGAAAGCAAAGACCACCTCACCCTGGTCTACCTGGACCTGGCTGAAGGCTGTGGCTGGCTGCCCTCCCACCAGGAGATGCCCATACTGAGGCCCCTGGGTGAGGTGGTATGTGGCGTCTGGCTCCTCTTGATCTGAAACCACCCGGAGCTGCTGCCGGCTCAGTGAGGAGTGCCCTAAGGCTTGGGGCACCTCTAGGGGTGCCTGCAGCTGCACCTCAATGGTGGATGGCAAGACATCCACGGCCAGGGACATGGACAGGGGTGGACTGGCCCCGTCAGACACGCTCAGCTGGAAGATGCCTGCCACACTGCTCCCATTGGCCACGAAGGCTAGCCGCCCTGCATCCACATCGCCCTGGGTGAAGTGCCTCACAGGGCCCGCACTGGCCCCTGCCAGGCTCAGGAAGCCATTGTGGGGTGCTCGTTGCACCTTGAACTCGATCTCCTCAGGAGCTGAGTCTGGGTCCACCACACTCAGCTGGGCCCTGGAGATTGAGGCGCGGGAGCCGCGGGTGAGCCGAAGTGGAATGGAGGCCTGTGGCAGAGGTGGCCGCTCATTCACATCTCGCACCGTGATGGTGAAGGCCTCTGAGGTTTGGGGTCCTGCCAAGGGGGCCCCTGCCGACCCCTGGAGGTGGGCATGAAAGCGGAAGCCATCTGGCTGAGTGCCCCCGCCACCATGGGCATACACCAGCTGCCCTGAGGCCAGCTGGGACTGCAGGAAGTGGGGCTGCCCAGCATGGAGGGGCTCCTCAGACAGCAGCAGCTGGCCCCAGGCAGGGAACTGCGTGACCTGGAACAGCACATCATGCTCTGGGCGCTGGGATGACAAAACACTAGCCAGGAGGTTGGAGGCATCAAGGGCAGCCCTGGTAATTTTGGCTCGCTGGCCTTCGGAGACCCAGAGACCTGCAGGTAAAACACAGGCTATTAAGGTTCAGTCCACGCAGGGAAGAGCCATGGACCTTCAGCTGGGGCCCCCAAGGCAAGGTTTGCCTCCCCCCTCAGACCAGGTATCCCAGGATGGGGTTCAGAGTTTTCAGGAGGAACAAGGACCATGTCTCCCCTCTGACCTCAAAGCCTCTCTATCTGCCCACCCTCTCTATAACATCCCAGGTCCTGGGGGCTGACCCTGGTCTTGAGTCCACTCCTCTCTGGGCCTCTCCTAGTGTCCTCCTAACTTTGCCAGCCTATCATACTGTTCACCTTTGTTCCTCCAGAGACGGCTGGGGCGCTGGGGACAGGCAGCCTCAAAAGATACAGCCACAGCAAGGGTGGTGGCTACATCAGGGGCAGGAGGCGAGGCCAGACGGAGCTTCAGAGTGTCATGGGCCTCCCAGAAGGGCTCAGCAGGCATCTTGTGCTCATATAGAACATTCCCGGCATACACCTGTGGGAGACCACCACCATTGGAACAAGGCAGGTCCAGCCTCTGTGCCCAGCAGCTCCCTCCCAGGCTGGCATCTCCCTCAGACCATCCCTGGATTATGGCGATAGCCTCCTAGCCTTATTCTACGCTCTCCCAGTTGTGCCTGCCTCTGGGTCTATAATGTGCACTCTCACTGTCTCAGGGGCCACCACTAGGCAGTCATATGGCAGACCCAGGCTTTGCCACCTTGGGCAACCCTCTGAGCCTCTGGGGAAAGCAATATTCTACCTTATTTCTCTCAACAGAGGTCTTTCCTCTTTTGCACTGATCCTCGCCCCTCTTGCCTACTGAGTACACCTCTTTTACCATCTCCCTTTTTTTTCATATGGTGTCAATTTTGCCCCAAATGGATCATTCCCAGCATTATGCAGCCATATTATTCTTTCTTCCACCTTAAAGAAAAAACTTGACTTCACTTTTCCCACAAACATTTGCCACCTTTCCCTTGCTGTTCTTTGTAGCAAACTGCAAAAGAGTAGCTTACACTGGCCAGCTGGCATGGCTCAGTTGTTGAGTGTAGACCTATGAACCAGGAGATCATGTTCGATTCCTGGTCAGGACACATGCCCGGGTTGTGGGCTTGATCCCCAGTAGGGGACGTACTGGAGGCAGCCAATCAATGATTCTTTCCCATGATTGATGTTTCTATCTCTTTTTTCCTTTCCCTTCCTCTCTGAAATCAATAAAAAAATATTTAAAAAAAAATAAAAAATAGCCCACACTCCCCCCATGATGTCCTAAGTGTACTCCACCCAGGCTTTGCTCCTATTCTGGCCAGGGGCACCAGTGGCCTCCGTGTTGTTAGATCTAATGGTGGGTTGTCAGGCCTCATCTTGCCTTGGATGTCATATGTGAGCATCCCTTCCTAATGCAACTTTCTCCAGGATGGCCCCCTGTCTTTGTTTTCTTCCTACCTTAGTAGTTGCTTTTTCACAGACTCTTTTGGTCCCTCCTGTTCTTCCCAACATCTATGACTTGGCCTTGAGATTCTTCTCCATCTACAGGCAGGCCCCACCTGCTCTCATTTAGTCCTCAATGCCAGCTATGTGATGATCTGCTTATGTGTACCTCCCACTCGGACTGCTCTCTCTGGAACCCCAGCCTCTCATATCTACCTGCGTCCTTGGCAGCTTCTTGGGGATGTATAGTGGACATCTCAAACTCCGCATGCACCATGCAGACTCCTGGCCTGCCCCCCTTTCCATCTTCCCAATGCGGAAGATAGCAGCTCTGTTTTTCTTTTTCTAATGGCTCAGGCCAAACTCTGGCATCATCCCTGACTTCCCTCCTCTTCCCACACCCCATCATCTGTGGCCTGGATTATGGTGATAGCTCTCCTAACTATGGCCTGCTTTGGCCCCTGCTCCCCTCCTCCTACAATTTATTCTTAATACAAAAACCAGAGTGAGCTTTTAAAAAGTAAGGTCATGTCACTCTTGCTCAGATTGTGCAATAGCTTATCATTTGACTACAGAGACCCCATTGTGACCCCATTACCCTTTCGACTTCACCTATGACCACCCTTCCTTAGCAAGTCCAGTCCAGCCAACCTGCTGCTTGCTAGGACTGTCTGCATGTTAAACACCAGGCATATTCTTCATTTCCATAAAGAAGTTCCTCTCCCCTTCTGATCCTAATGTGTTCTCTTGGCTTATCTTTTGTTTTCTCCTTTTAGAAGACACAGAACTATTTTCATTCACTCAGAAGAAAAGGACTTGTGCAATAGCAACATGGAAACTGATTGGTGTGGAAGACTTTAGGAGAGAGGGGTTGTGATGACTGGGGAGCACAGCCTAGTTAAAAGGGTGGTTGCTTCTCATCTGATTGCTGTAAGAGGAAACACAGGCCTTTTAAAAAACTGGAAATTCGCTTTTTTTAATTGAAATTTCTAAAGGTTGTACGTTGACCATTAATTAAAAAAATATTGAATGCATTGTGCAGGCTGTTGGCCAGATGTGGCCTGCAAGGACAGCCAGGTGTGACCTTTGGCCTAGGCTGAAGGGTGGGCAGGAAGGAAATGAAGACCCCTGGGAGTGAGGGTGGGAGGCTGAATGCCTGGGCACAGGAACATCATGGGTGGGAGGGGTCTGCTTGAGGGTGGGGCAAATCACAGGCAGAATGGAGAGGGTCCCCGAGCTCTGGGAGCAACCAATGTCCTCTAGGGAAAGAAACCTTGGACTAACAGTCAGAAGGCACAATCCTGGCTTTGCTTCTTACTAGCCACGTGCTCTGACGTTTCACCTGACCTCTGTGACCTTCAGATTTCTTATATGCAAGATGGGGACACCTGTTCCCTGACCCACCCAGCTCAGAGTATTGTGGGGCAGTGGTGGATGTCAGATATCACCAAGTCTTCCCCAGCCCCCTTCCTCAAGGGCAGATGGGTCTCTGCCATGCTCCTCTGCATGGCACTGCCAGCTCACCCCCTGTTGACTGTTCAACCTGGTCCTTCAGATTACTGGGATGTGGGGAGAAGCACTGTAGGGTGGGGGCAGGGCTCAGGAGGCCTAGTCTATTCCCTCCCACTTCCTGGGCATCTGATGATAAAGGCTCCCAGGGACTCAGGTGCACAGCTGCTGCAGCCTCCAGCCTACTGAATATTTCATTATAGGGAGGGGCAGGAAGAGGGCCATAGCAGAAGCCAGGGCTCCAAGAGAACCAAGAACCCAGCCTAGTGGATGTTGATATGAGAGACCCAAGAAACCTTTCCCACTACCATTAAAGACTCTCCTTTCCTGAGGCCTAAAAGCTCCTTACCTGCTCTGCCTTTGGGAGAACCAAGGCTGCCCTTGCACCTCTTGCACATAGAAGGGGTGTTAAGTGATGGCTGCTGGTACTGGTACTGTTAGCACAGAGCTCTGTGATCCCAGCAGCCCTGTAGTCTGAGTGTTTACTGTTAGCCTCTGCTGTGTTTTAGGACAGTCAAGCCCTGAAACTGCAGTGATGGACAGATGGCAGCTCCACTCCCCACTGGACCTACTCAGCTGCCTTCTGTCCACTCATGTGCTCCCAGGACCCACTCTGCTTCTTGCTGGCTCCTGACCTGAGACCCAAGCTCATACATCTGTCCACAGGCCCAAATTGTCCAGGGGAAGCCTCCATTCAGGGCTGCCTTCATCTCAAACTCCATCCCCTGAACCCAACACTGCCCCTCACCAGCCACTGGGGTGTACTAATGTCCCCCAACCAGTGCACACTTTCTAGCTCCTAGGGTCCAACTTCATTTTCCTTCTGGAAGTCAAGACCCAGGACCTGATCCCTGTTCTGAGCTCCTTGACCTCCTGCATCCTTCTCTCTCACCATGGAACACTAAGTCCCATTTGCTTTAAGGACCTAGTGGCTCCTGGAGAGCAAGGCATGCATGGCCTGGGTCATAAGAGGTTCAGGGAGTGTGCTGCCAATTATGCTGGATCTGGTACCCGTATCCATGTGTGTCCATGGCAGAGTGGGCCACCTAAGATGTGGCTGTAGAGAGTTGAGACCTTACCTCAGCCTGAGTGAAGTTCATAAGGGCCTCCTCAGTGCTGCCCTGCTGGGTGTGGAACAGCCGGCCAAGCTGGGGGCCCTGCACCACCCAATAGAGCAGATGGTGAGGGTCAGTGTCTGTGCTGGAGGTGGCTCTCAGGTTCTGGCTGCTAAGCGGCTGGACAGATCCTATGAGAGGCAAAAAGGGCCTGTCAGACTCAGACCAGGGGCCAGGCAAGGCCTGTGACCTCTGGAGAGGCAGCATGACCCTGGTGTGCCACCCATACTTGACAGACCCACCTGGGCAGACAGTTAGTGTTCGGCTGCCCTCCAGGGAAAGGAGTGGCTGCTTCTGGGCCATCACGTGGAAGAAGTGTCCAGGGGAAGTGTGCTTGCCATCAGAGAGGCTGAAGCGGAAGCCTCCATCCAGGGCTCCTGAGGGCAGATGTAGAATTGGGTATCAATGGCCCATGCTGGTACCCTCTCCTCAGGGTGTCCCCACATCTCAGCACCCACCTCTGTGTGAGAACAGCACAAGCCCACTGTCCAGCTGGGCCTGTGTGAAGCTGTGGGCCTCGGTGCCCAGTGTTGCCTGGAGCACTACTCGTCCATTGCTGGGCTGCTCGATGGTGTAGACCAGGTCCTCGGGCTCTGAGTCGCCGTCTGTGCCCTTAAGGGCTGCCACAGGGATGGGCACAGTGCCCCCCTCCCACATCTGGGGACACAGGCCTGTGAAGGTTCTGCCCCCACCAATGGCCATTTTGGGCTCGTCTGCACAAAGGGTCCCACCCTATTCACCTTTCTCTGTTACCCCAGGGACCCCAGCCCCAGGCTCCCTGCTCCCATCTGCCCTAATCCTGACTGTCCCTCAAGGACAGCTCTTGTCCCTCTACCTCAGGAAGCTTCCAGCTCTCACTCTCACAGGCTTCTCACTTCCAGAACCCTCCAAGCCGGGCCAACAGCACTGCTTAATCTGGTTGTCTCACTGGCAGGGCAGAGGTCTCCCTCAGATCCTCCATAGTGAGTCTGGGAGGCAGGGGCTGGGAACAGTAATTTCGCCTGCCCGGGATACTTAGAAATGGGCTCCCCTTCCAGATGAGGGAGGGGATGGGAGGCAGGGACAGCTGGAGAGGCTGATGGTTGGCCACCACCCTGAAGCACTGAAGCAGCACTGGGAATAGGGCAGTCACAAGCCTCAGTGTGTGGGTGAGGCCTGCCTGGATGCGGACTGCCCCTCCCTATGCTCAGAGTGAAGGGGAACCTCCCTCAGCCCTCCTACCTGCCAGCAGGGCAGGATACCATTCCCAGAGTCCTGTTACATGCCCTGCTGGGTCAACAACTTGTGAGCAGTATTGGGGAGGGGCTTCCAAACCTGGAGAACTGAGGTCTCTGGGATGCCTGGACTCCCTCTCCCAGCCCCAGCTGACTCCTGCCAGAGCTCTAGAAGGAAGACCACTATGGTTGAAGGCTCCTGGCATGAACACAGTGGACAGCACCACCTGGTGGCTGAGCTTCCACACAGTACCACCTGACTGTTCTCCGCGGGTGAGGGGTGGGGGGCAGGGGGTGGGGTAGGGGGACAGCCCTTAGCCTATACCCTACCTTTTGCTGGTCTCCCTACCACTGAGCAGTAGCACATCCTATATCACAAAAATGCCCAGTGCTCATGTCACAGACAGCCTGTCAGCCCTCTTTCGAAGCCTCCCATATCTTCTGCTGACCTGGAGTCCACACCCTGTCCATTGTTGTCTTGCTGGGTGAAGCCACACCCTTTCTGTTCCACCAATAACTAGTTTTGAGACCGTAGAGAAGTTTTGTCACCTGTCTGGGCTTCAACTTCCACCTCTGCTGAATGGGGGCACCACTGTTGTGCCCCATGTGGGGGCAGGGACTTGGGAGCCAAGCTGTGAGATTTACTTGCTGGGGGTGGAAGTGGGGAGCTTAATGGCTCCTCACCTGGAGTCCACCCTTAAGGGCTTGAAAGAACTTTCTTCAGGAATTCTGGTCCTAAGCATAGAAAAACCCTTCTGTTGAGAGTGAGCCCAGGAAAGAGCAGTGCCAAGCGTGGCCATTCACAAGGTTGCCTCCTGTACTTATAAGTGTCCAAGAAGAAAACCTCACACCTGTGTTCTATTTTCAGTGCAATAGCTCTTCCCTCTTCCCAACAACCTAGTGAGGCACGTGACATTGTCCCTATTATAAGGGGGAGGAAACTGAGGCTCAGAGAGGGGGAAGCTGTGTGTTGGGCCTTTCTCCAGGAGGGGATGGGGGTGGGAGATGGTTCTAGAATGCTCTCACCTGCAGGCCTGTGTTTGTGGTGAGGACAGGGGGTTGGTCGTTGACAGGCAGGATGGTGATGGCAAAGGATACGGGATGGCTCTGGCGGTCCATCTCTGAGGCATTAGCCACTAGGATGAAGCTGTCTGTCCGTGTCTCGCTCCCATCATGAACATAGTGGATCAGCTGTTCTTCCACCTGCAGGCCGGCCCAGGCTGGAGGTCAGGCTCAGCACCCTTCATGCCTGCCCTCGGATGGGGGAGGAGACTGAGTCCCTTAGCACCTCGGTTTCTGCAGGTGGAGACAGCCCTTTCTCCCCGAGTAAAGGAATGAAGGAGTGAAGGAAATGGGATCGTCATTTCTATCTACCTGGTGAAGAAGGAATGAGGTAAGGCATCTGAAGCAAACATGCTCTGTAAAGGTGGGCTCCATGCCTCCTCTCTTCACACATCCCCAGACTGGGCACCCCTAGGCTCCCTCACTCTGCCCCCAGAACTGGACTGTACCCCTGGGAACTCCCTGACAGCATACCTCTCTCCAGGAGAAGGTGCTGAGGGTCCTGTTTTGAGCGTCGTCTTCTCTCCGCAGAGCCCCGTGCCGGGGTGACTCTAACACCTGCAGGACAAGGCCTGGCAGCATGGGGAAGTAGGGCCCAGTGATGCGGAGCAGCGGAGGGGCCAGGGTGCAGGTGCCACCCTCAGGGACACTGAAGTTCTGTGCCTCCAGTGGGATGGTGGTGGGCAGCACCTCCAGCTCCATGTGGATACCCTCGAGGGGAGCACCCAGGCCTGAGGCCACATCCAGGGAGAAGGTATCACTCCAGAACTCAGGGCGGGAATGCAGGTATAGGACCCTGCCCGCATCCACGGCCTCCTGAGAGAAGCTCTGCACGGGGTCCAAGATGGGTGGCTCGGCTGCAGGGGTGGCATGAGACAACATCACCAGGTAGCCAGCGCTTGGGGGGGTCTTCACTGAGAACACAATCTCTGCAGGTGGCACTGTCTCCTGGGCTGCCTGGTTAACAGAGGGTCACAGGGACTCACCACAGGCACAGGGGAGGCCGTCATGACCTCTGAGACACACTCCCTGAGATGTACACAATCTCACATCCTCAGATTCAGTGACATAGACATATACTTTTACTAAATACTGATGTGCGAATAGGGACACACAATCATCCCACACGTGTGTACACACACACACACACACACACACACACACACACACGCTGCCCCGCCTCCACTATTGTCACTTCTCACCACCAGAGAGCGCCCCATCCTTCTTGAGGCACAGACTCTAAGACACTATAGGTTCCCTGGGACTTGAGACCCTGTCTAGATCCAGGGCTGCTGGATGCTCCCTCACCTGATTGTCCACCCCCAAGTTCACATTCCTGATTCTGTGCCTTTGCCTGGGCCTGTAATATGGTTCCCCCCATTTCCTGCTAATTGAAATCCCAGACTCTTCAAAGCCTGGCTCAAATGGTGCCTCCTCCAGGGCAAAGACAGCCTGATGCCAGATATATATAGTCACATTCTGACAAAAGCCCAGACAGCCAGAACCACAAGGGGCTCAGAAATTGACAGTGTAGGAGAATAAGGTCCAGAAAGGGCAAGAGACTGGCTAAGATCACAAAGCAAGTCAGTGGGCCTGCTGGGAGGCCTGTGGTTGCTCTGTGAGGTTCCTGGGGGTTCAGCAGCTCTCTTCAGACCATGAATCCTAGTCTGAAGTCTGGGAAAAGAGCTGAGGACATGGGAGCCTGGGGACCAGCTAAGCCTGTCTCCAAGGCCTGTAGTCCTCAAAGTTTGTGTCCAAGAAAACCCTCCAGAGAACTTATTGTTACTAGAATACAGATTCTTAGGCTCAATTCTTAGGCTTCAGAGGTTTTGTGGCCTGGGAGGGGCCCAGAAACATGCATCGTTAACCACAGCATGTACACATATGGAGGTACACACAATGCACAGGTAGCTTTATGTACAACAAATTCCCCAGAAACTCTTGGGCACACAACATGCATGTGAACAGGAGCATACCCAAGGCATGTACATACACCTGACCCAGAAGCCACCACAGGCATACCGGAAACATCCAAGCACACACAGCATGAAGGCCCATATGCTGCTCATCCCCCAGCCCTTTACCTCCAGCTGATCCTTTCTGATCTTAGCCGCCTCTCCCTGGAAGACATAGACCTTCTTGTGCTGGACCAGGTGCAGTGGGGCCAGTGGCCCTTCTAGGGCAATGGTCACTTGTAGGGTGGCATCCGTGTGCATAGGTCCTGCATCTACAGACAAGGCCAGGGTGTCATGGGGGCTGAGGCTGCCGTTGTGGCTGTAGAGAACGGCCCCATTCAGCAGATCCTGCTGAAAGAAGGCTGTGGCTGGCTGGCCTGCCCGGAGCAGCTGCCCCCATTGTGGGCCAGCTGTGACATGATAGTGAACCTCATCCCCACTGCGGATGTCTAGGTTGGTGTCCAGGTGGAGTACAGCTGTGTCAATGGTGCCCTGGCCTCCTTGAGGGACCACGAGGTTAGAGTCATTGGCCACACGGAGGTAGGGCTCTGAAGCCTGCACTTCAAGCAGTGTGGTGGCCTGGTGCTGCCCATCAGACACCTGTAGCTGGATCCAGCCGCGGTCAGCCCCGGAGTGCACGAATAGTACTCGCTTCTTCCTGAGGTCCTCCTGAGTAAAGCGGTAGATGGGCCGCATGGGGTCATCCACAGCCACAATACTGCCAAAGAGGAGGTCCTTGCGGGTCAGCACCAGTTGGGCATCAGTAAAGCCAGAGTCGGCATCGCTAAAGGCCACGTCATCTGTAGTGAGTAGTCGCTGCCCACCCCGGGCTACATGGAAGATGCGGCTGATGGTCTGCACGGGGGCGTGGTCATTCACGGGCTGGATGGCCACTCGGAAGACACCACGTACCTCCTCCCAGGCCATGCCACCGCTGCCCTCCCCCTGGCGGGTAGCTACAAATGGAATGTCATCTTCTGTGGTCTCAGAGTCATCATGCTGGTACACCAGCCGGCCTTGCAGCAGGTCCTCATTAGTAAAGGATGTCACCATGATGGTCTTGTCTTGTGTCCCCTGCCATGCCAACCTCCCATGGCGGGGCCACTCCATGACCTCATAGAGATAGCTGGCACTGTTGAGACTCTTGATGAAGAGGTGGTCAGCGGAGAGGATAGCCTCACCACCTTCAGGGACTGAGAGGAGAACATTGGTGAGGACAGGAGCATCTGGGTCACCACCAATATGGATGGGGAAGGTGTAGAGAGGGGAGAAGTGTGGCGGAGCTGTGACACGGAAATGGAAGACATCCTCGACCACCTCTGAGGCACGTGCTGTGGCCCCATAGGTCACCCTACCAGCTTGAAGGTCATCTTGGGTGAAGCCCTGACCTTCTGATAGCCGCATGCCCTGGAGTCGCAGATTTCCTTTCCTGGGGGCCTGAACCACTTCATAGTGAAAAGTGGTGGGGCTCAGGCCTGCCTCCTCTAGGGTGGCCTCCAAGTGGGCTGTGGTAAGGGCCTCCTGCCGGGTGTTCTGAGTGTGCAGTGGCTCCAGCCGCAGCAGCCACACGGTGGCTCTCTGGACTGTCACAGGGAAGGACAGATTGCTTAGGGTCTCCTGACCCACCTGCACCTCCAGGGTCAGTTTCTCTACCATGTCCTCAGCATGGTGCTGTGGGTCAGTGCTTAGGTACCTCACGCGGCCCTGTTCCACGTCCCGCTGGTGAAAGGCCTGTGTGGCCCACCATTCTGCACCCTCTGCCCCGCCTGATCCCTGCTTCTGCAGCTCCCCGAACTGCAGGGCTCCAGTGACTCGGAATAGCACACTCACATCCTGCTCTACAGCATTTGTCTCCACTGACAAGTTGGTGGGCAAGACCAGTGCAGCAGAGCCCTGGGCCAGGCGCAACCCTGTGTTGTGGCGGATCTGAATGGCTGGCCGGATAGCCACCACCTTCAGTGTGGCCAGGGAGCTGGCCTGCAGCCCATCGCTGACCCGGAAGATGAGGTCCTGGGCAGGCCCGCCGCTGTGGACATAGACAAGGCTGCCTGCCTCAAGCTCCTGGCAGGAGAACTCGGTTGCTGGCTCCCCGGGTTTGTCTCGGCGTTCCACGGGGCCACTAGCCAGGAGCTGGAAGGTAAGGTCCTCGCAGGGGGAGTCTGGGTCATAGGCCTGGAAAACCTCGGGCCCCAGTGGCTTCTGTGTGTGTTCCAGGATCACCATGAGGCTGCCATGTGGGAAGATGACACGGGGTGGGTCATTGACAGGGTTTATCTGGATGGGCAGAATGTAAGTTTGGCCTCTTCGAAGGCAGGAGGGCACGGGCCCCTGAGCTGTCACTGACACCTCCAGCACCAGTTGGTCGGAGGTGTCCTCAGAGCCATTGTGGACAAAGCGGGCCTTGCGGTTCACCACATCTAGGAGAGTGAACATTTGCCGAGTCCGCGCGCCCGGAATGTCCAGCTCTAGCTTGCCGTGTCGCGGCCCGCGGCTCACACTGAACAGCACCTGGGATTTGCGCAGTTCAGCCTCTCTCAGGTCCAGGGTGGGTTGCACATGCCGCCATTCAAGCCAGGCTGTGCCACCCTCGGCCACTACCAAGGGGCTGATGGTCAGCAGTTGGGTGAAATTGTCAAAGATAGGAGGCAGCCCAGATTCAGGCACACAGGGCTCAGGCAGCTCCATGGCTGGCCAAACTTCAGGTGCCAGGGTGGAGAAAACTTCATAGGGGCCATAAGCATCCTCTTCGTATTCATCTTCCTCAGGCTTGCAGCCGGCCACCATATTGCGAGTCAGCCACGCCTCCCGGAGCCCCCACCTCTGGCCATTGATGCTGAGGTCCTCCATGCAGCCTAGTAGGGAGACACTGACAGCCCCCGTGGCCAGGCCCAGGCGGTGTTCCTGGAGGTGGTGAGAGGCCTCTGCATCTAGCCCCCCGAGGAGAAGACTACCACGTGGCTCCAGGTAGCTGAGGACCCCACGGTTGGAAGTACGTGTTGGGTACTGATCCACGGAGATTTCCAGCTGGTGAGCATCCATGTGGACACTGACCTCGTGGGGCTGTCCATCGGCCACAGGCACACTGTTGTGGAGCAACACAGTGCCCTTGCCTTTCTCGACCACAGCTCGCAGGTGGCCTTCAAATATATCCAAGTAGATGAAGTCCCCACGCTGACCGCCTGCCTGGAAGGCCAGGGGTGCCTGCTGGCTCCTTGTGATGAGTGTAAACTCCAGGGTGCCTTCATTCTGAGTGCTCCAAGGAGGGAAGGCTGCCAGTGAGTGGGGCCCAGAGAAGCCCAGGGCCACATCATCACCAGCAGAAAACTCTTCAGCACAGCCCTCATGCACATCTGGGGTTAGTGGCTGAAGGAGGCTGTGGCCATTGAGGGTGGCTGCATGGAGGCAACCCCTCAGAGGTCGGCTGGTTCCCCTCAGGTAGGGCAGGCCCAGGCTTCCAGTGCCCCCCACAAAGAGCCCATAGGGGACCTTCAGAGGCCCCCCTGCGACTGGGGTGGAAGTGTTGAGGAGCCCATCTACTGACAACCAGGCCCAGCCATCTGATATCATTAGCCCCACTGTGTGGAGGACGGAGTCACTCAGCAGCATCTCTGATGGGGTCTGCAGCCTCAGTTCCTCCCGGCCTAGGACAAGTCTGACCTGAGGAGAGATGGGGAGTAGGGGAGGCAGCCCTGTGAATCTACATCTTTTGCTGGAAAAGCATAGTTGGTCCCTAGGGCCTAGGACAAGGTCTTCTTATGCCACTCTCTCTCCTTTCTGTCATCTCTTATTTTCTAAACACTCACCAGAGTGATCCCTATGAGGCCTGGATAGCCTCTGGTCTCTGATATGAGTCAGATGTGGTCCCTATCCACAAATAACTGATATCTAGAGGATGCTCTCCTAGACATTCAATTTGGGTTAAAAAAAATTTGTTCCCTCTTTCCTTGGCTGGGAGATGCTAGAAAAATTACTTTGGAATATAAAAGATTTCATCATGGGCACCTGGGAACCCCCTGCTGAGGGCCCTGAGTGGGGCAAACATGGAGGGTTACCAAAGCAGCCAGGCTCACTATTCAGGGATGGGGAGCCCAACCAGAGGTTCTGCATTGTGAAGGTTTAGTACGAAAAGCTCCATGACCTAAAGTGAGGGGAGATCCTAGGGAGAGAAGAGGGACATGGTTTTGACTGCAGGACATTGACACCAGAACTGACTCTGGTGCAATGCTCCCACAACCAGAAGGCAGAACAGGTCTTGGCAGAGTAGGGGAACTGAAAGAGCAGAGCACTATTAATGAGACCTTGGCAGTCCAAGTAGGGAGCACCTCTGTAAGGGTGTGGCCTTATTGCATCTGGCAGAGAGGAAGGGTATCAGGACCAGGCTATAACCAGGCCAGGTTTAACAGTGATATCTTATGGCAGTGAGAAGCAATGGCAGCAGCAGATGGATTGATGGGTGATCAGGCCATAGTCCTCTCCTCAGTGTGGCCTGGAATCAGCTGACTCTCATTTGGACTAAGACCTTGGGTTCTCAAACTCTTCATGGTTAGGGAGAAGCCTCAAGATAGAGCCAGAGGAATCCTTGCTAATATAGCTTGTAGTGACTTGAAGGATTAAATGGAAAAATGAGGAAGCTGTGGCAGTACTGTTGTTACCATCATCTACAGACATGATTGTTGCTATGCAGAGTCCAGATGATCACTGGGTGGGGTGGGGATAGGGGGAAGGAGAAATGTCCATGCTGAGACTTCAAGGAGAGACTAGTGTTAGGTGCAGGGAGTTGGTGAGACAGGCATGAGGCACAGGGAGTTGAGTGAGAAAACACCTGGCAGCAAGAGACCATAGATAACCAGGGAACTGAAAGCCATTGGAGTAGTCAGCACCTAAAGGCCAGCTAGAGTTGTGGTAAGAAGTGAGATTGGAGAACAGGAGGGCAGAGCAAGTTCATGACGGACTCACAGCTTCTGGGATTCAGTTGTCCATCTCACAGTGGAGAACTTGAGACCCCAAGGTGAAAATGACTTGCACAAGGTCACATAGCTGGTTAGGGGCCATTGAAAGCTAGAGTTCAGCAGGGAGATGTCACTGACCTGCAGGCGTCCAGAATTGAGCTGCAGGAGGAGGTGGTCAGCTGGGCCTGCTGCCAGGAGAAGCAGGGCTTCACGCTGGGATGTGGAGAACTGTAGCTGTAGGTCTATGTTGGTCAGAACTGTGGCCACTAACACCTCCAGGTGGTTCTCACCGAAGAAGGAGGCTGTGTGAGAGGGAGTTTTAGTCAAGTCTCAGACCCTTGCCTGGAGGAGGACAGGTGCTACAGAGTGAATATGTGTGCTGTAGGGAACGGTTTCATGCTGACGCACCCTCATGGTCTTCCACATGGCTGTCCCATGGGCCTCAGCCAGATCCCAGCACCTGCTTGGTCCTGGCCCCAGAAGGTACCCAGCCTAGATTTTGCCTCTGAAGAAGGCCCAACCCAGCAATTTCAAGCAACTCAGGTCTCCTCTTCAGAGGTTCCTGGGGCCAGGGTCCTCTACCAGCAATGGCTCTCTTCCCCTCAGCCCCAGCAGAATCTGGGTCTGGCCCCTCCTTGGCCCAAAGGATAACCATCACTGATGTGATCACCTCTCTTGGTGGTCACAAATCCCAGGACTGGAGTTCCAGAAGAATCACCTTTACCCTCAACTGATCCCTGTTCAAATTTCTTCTCCTAAGTACCCTTACACTTTGGCCACTTTGCATGCTATGACCCACCTCCGTGGGTTGGCTGGGGCCTGGTGGTGTTGCTGTCAGGCAGCTCACCCATCTTTGCTTTCCTCTTGGGCCATGCTCCCAGCTGCTTTTGGGGGTGGGCAGAGGCAGCTTATTTGGTCTGAGTCCATAGAGAAGCAAAAGTTCTAAGGCCAGATGGAGGCCATGTGCAGTGCTAGACCCCAAATGGGCCAAAACTTCCTGCATCACCCCATGTTGCATCCTGCGGTAGAACTATTACTGGTCCCTGGTGAGCAGTCAGATCCGGTCCCATTGTTTGCAAGCCAGGGATGACAACAGCTGAGTTCTCTAAGGCAGGGTCTGAGGCTGAAGACAAGGCTTGGGAGGAGCTGAGGGTCTGCTGGGCAGGCCAGTGAGCTTCCCAAAGCAGCAGCGGTTTCATAGGGTTAGTGGTCACTGTCCAGGGTCCCTTTTGTCCCATGCTGGGACACCTCCTCTTTTTAAGTTGCCACCTCTTTCCAGGCAGTTTCCTCAAATTAGCCTCTCTTGCCCTCCAACTTGCTGCTACAATTTCTAGTCTATTCCTTTGTGGAGATTAGGGCCAAAAATAACTTTGAGTCTGTCCCCCAGATGTCCAAGGCTGGGAGAGGCAGACAGTAATGGTTTAAAAAGATGATTCATCCCTGTTAGGCTTCCCTTAAACCCCGTGTGAGTGAATAAAGGCTGATGGCTTGATAGGGATGGTCTAGCATTGGCTATATACCTACTAGTCCCCGGCCAACCTGAACCAGCTGATGTGTGCCTGAAAAAATAGCCACTGGAGGAGTCGGAGGCATGTATGCCCTACGGGCAGCCAGCACTATGTGAGGGATGTCCAAGGATAACGCTCTTCCACTTGGGCTGAGCTTACAACCCTTATAGTCATCTCTTTTGCTGGCACTTGCTGGAAACACAGGAGCCTTTGATTGGGGAGGTAAAGGAGTCAAATAAGAACTTCAAAACCAGCTGAGAACATGGCCCAGTAAGCCCAGCAAGGCCAACAGACCTTGGTGTTGGTAAGGGACAGGTCAGGGGACCTGTGGGTAACTTACCTGCAAGGACATTGATTCTTAATAACAAAATGCAGCACACTACACTGAGGGCACACACAGTTGCAGAGGTTGGGGCACGTGGCCCCTGCAGAACAGGGCCACCATGGTGGTGGACCAGAGCTCATAGCAGCTGGCAATAGCTGGTTGTAAATTTTTAGGGATATTGTTAGCCAGGTGATGTTGCCTGGTGAGAATATTTATACCATGATGTAAAGAGGCCAAAACCACAAATCAGGGCTCACTCTCTCCCAGAGAACTTGTTGCTGAACATTTACCTGCCTACCACCCACAGAGAGGGGGCCCAGTTCTCTCCCCTGTGTGGGAATGAACCCACACACCCATCCGTACTCCCTTTTGCTAAAGGTGGATATAAATCTTTTGGGGCTTGGCCGGTGTGGCTCAATGGTTGAGCATTGGCCAGGAGGTCATGGTTTGATTCCTGATCAGGGCACATACTAGGGTTGCAGGCTCAATCCCCAGTGTGGGGCATGTAGGAGGCAGCTGATTAATGATTCTCTCTCATCATTGATGTTTCCATCTCTCTCCCCCTCTCCCTTCCTTTCTGAAATCAATAAAAATATATTTAAAAAAATAAATCTGCTAGGGCATGATCAAGGTCAGGGCTCTGGATTAAGCAGGAATTGAAGTAGATGGCTGGCTATAACCAACCTGCCTCCAGTGCCCTCCCAGCAGCCAGTTTGGCCTGGTTCTCCAGGCCCAAGTGGGAGGGCAGCAGGATGTACTAGTAGAGGTACTTTCCAGAGGGCTGGAGTCTGAATGGGCTCATTGAGGGGCTGGACCCTGCTGTTTCCAGTGGGGCCAGGCAGGGAAAGGCTCACACAGCAGCCTTGTGCTATGCTGGGAGTTCACAGGCCAGGGAGCCCCTCCACCCAACAGAGGCTTCTGAGGCCTTGCTGGCCAGGGTTTTGGAAACTCTGACAGCCCCCCCCCCCCACCTCGCTGCCTCTACTTTCTGTTCTTCTTCTGCCCCTTACTGTCTCTGATGGCTGCAGATGCAAGAACCTAGAATCTCTGTCCTGGGGAGGGGGCAGTTGGAGAGGGAATTTGAATAAATAGGTGGTACAGGATAAAGAAGTAATGAGCTAGAAGTCAATCCCCAAGGGCTTCCTGGGGGAGATAAAGGTGGCGTAGAGGAGCAGAGAGGGAGGGGAATGGGAAGCAAGGACAAGGACAAGTGAGAGACCGGCAGGAATATATAGGCTCCAGAATGTTGAAGACAGAGGAGAGTAGAAGGAAAGGTAACATGACTAAATTGGGCTTAGTGGCTGCTGGGGATTTGGGTGGTCCGGGAGGAGAGGAGGAATTAGAAATGTCTGGAGACCTCCCCTTGATTCTCTTGGGTCAAGAAGACCCATGATTCATCAAAATACCATCTCAGGCCTGCAGCAGCTGGAGAAGGGCCCATGCTAGGGTTGGAGGCTTGATCCCCAGTATGCGGTGTACAGGAAGCCTCCCGGTCACCATTTTGTAAAATGAGCACTCCTTCCAATCCTTCCTCCTCCTGTCTGTTGGGATTATTCCTGGAGGTCCCTCCCCCATCCAGAGGTTTGCTCTCTAATATGGGTGTGCAGAGGGTTCATGTTGTGGGCTGCCGGAGTGGTGCCAACCTTTCAGAATGGTGGGAGCAGGATGCTCCACAGGGTCAGGGGGATAAGTGAAGGAGCAAGAAGAATCCCATATGTATGAGTTTCTCTGCCTAGAAGAAGGAAGATAGGTGAGTGTCCAGAGTAATACAGATGTGTATTTGCATGTGTGTGCAAGTGTGTGGGTGGCTGCTAGGGGTGTGTTTTGGATTTAAGGCTGCGTGTTTGTGCATGTGCGTGTGTGCGTGTGTGCGTGTGTGCGTGTGTGTGTGTGTGTGTGTGTGTGTGTGTGTGCTGGGAGCTGCCAGGACAGAACAGTGATTGTGCCTAGGCCTGTCTTGCCCCTCAGTGCCCACCCACAATGACTTGGCTGGGCCTGGCTCTGTGAAAGGGGCCCTGTGTTCCTGGAGGGTTTCTGCCCCTCCTCCTTGGCGCCCATCCATCTAAGTCTTAGATTCTAAGAGGTTTACTGAAGGTGGAGAAGGCCCATAACATCCCACCCTTCCTGCCCATGAACAGGGCACTGCTGTCTGTGCCCAGGGCTGGGCAGCTCCATTCCTCTTCCTGAGACAAGGGCTGGGAGCACAGAAAGAGCTTGTGTCCTTTCCTACCAAGCCCCTTCTCACATGGGGAGATGAAGCCTAGGCCAAGGGCCCCTAGCAAGCCACCCTCTGGCAGGGCACAGGTTATGTGGGCATCTTCTGGCTCCCTGGGGGCACTCCTGGGACATTTATGAATGGGAACCTGGCTCCTGCTCTGCAGGGAGTGGGGGGGGGATCCTAAACCTGAGGCTTACTTCCATGGTGATGCCCAAGTGTCTGCCTGTCAATAGGCTCTTGTGACAAGGGGCAGAGTATGTGCACATCAGGCTGTCGACCACCTCCCAGGCTAGGGACAGGTTTCAAGTATGGTGCCTTTCCAGTCGGGGATGGGGATGGGGGGAGTGGGCTGCTGCAGACCCTGCTCCTTCTGAGTCCTGAGGAATAGGCTAGCCAGACTGTCTCTCCCTGGCTCTGTCCCATCTCTCCTCATCTCTGTCCTGGCTCTTCAGTCACCCTGCTGCTTGTCTCTGCCTCTGTTTTCCCTCATCTCTCCCTGTCTTAGTCTTTGCCTCCCCTCTTCCCTCTGCCCCATCCTGGTTGTATCTGGGAACATCACCCTTGCTCCAGAACAGTCTAAAGAGTCTGGCCTGGGGCCTCTTGCCTTCTCAGCCTGGTCCCCACTTCCTGGGTTGTGGGGACCACAAAATTCTCTGTAGCCCTGCCTGCAGTAGGGGGACTTGGCTTCCATTTCTTTGAACACCCGAGGCCCCAGAGGAGAAGCAATTTGACAGAGAAAAGCAGAAAGCCTGCAGTGCTGGCCTTGCCACCTGTCTGGGCACCCCCACCCCCACCTCACGCCTCCCTGGCAATTGATTCCTTGTGCCTGCTCCTGCCACATTCCTGGTCGCTTGGGGGCAGCCAGGCAGCCCCACAGCCAGCATGCGTCATGGGCAGCAGCAGCATTCCTGGGTGTTTGCTGCTGTCTGACTTTATAAGGGAGAAAGTTTGGGAGCTGAGAGCTGCTGGGCAGGATGGCCAGTGGGGAGTGCCTAGGCGCACAGTCAAGTGTGGGTGGTGGGAGACCTCAACATGTGTTGTTGAGGAAGGACTTATTGGTACAGAGACAGAGCAGGAGCTGAGAGATGGATGGTGAGAGAAGGCAGAACCATATTCATTCATCCACAAATACAATACTGAAATGATAGGGATGTAGAAGGAGAACCAACCTAGGAAAGACAGAAAGCCTGAGAAAGATATTAAAACTGAGAATGGGCCCTAGCAAGTTTGGCTCAGTGGATAGAGCATTGT